GGAACGCTAGAAGGAGCGTGCGTTGCTGCTCCGTTTGCTCTTGCCTTGTGGGAACGAACTTTGCATCCATGGAAAGAACCAAAAACCTATCCGTAGTGTACCTTACGGCCACTGGCCACTGGCCACGCAGGCGAAGCCGTTTGGAGAAGCTGCAAGCCAAGTTGGTTCTTCCTGTGTTTGAATGGCGGGGCCCCTGATTGGCCGTCCCCTCTTATCTCTCGGCACGGTGGGGCTGAGATTGCTAGCGTCATCTTGGCAATGATAAGGCGAGGCAGGCACCAGTGGGACGGTCCCTACCCTTGTCTGTCCCTGCAGGGGGTACCCTCATCCCTCTTTCCCTTTCCGTTTTCCAATGAACCACTGAAACGGGGGCACCTGATTGACGACGACGACGACGACGACGCCTCTCCTCACCTTCAATCTCTCACCACTGACTGGCATCTCGCACACAACACAGCTTGGCGAATGAAGCGCCAGTATTCGTCGTCGTCATCACCTCATTATTATTTTTTATCTCTATTTCATATTTAGGCTCGGTGTTTCGCTTCTGCATCATGCAACTAGCTCATCGCTCGTTACGAGTGACCTTGATGATTTCTCCCATTTGACCACCTTATGGACATCTTACAGAGATAACCAAGCTCGGTCCGCTGACTTGCAGCCTTATCAGCAGCCAGCGCCATTCCTGATTCCTGCAGCACTCATAATACCCCTAACCACTCATATCCGAAATCCCCATTCGTCTCTCAAATCATGCCGCCCTAGACTAGTTGCTCCCGCTGCATTCGCCAAGGAATGCCGGCTAACACGGTAGTAAGCATGAAGTGTGAAATGCCCTCCGTTGGTACGAGGTACTGATAGAGAACCGAATCTCGTGGATACCGGTTACACGCGCGGCCTCTCATTTTCAGTGTCAAAGTCGATTCCCTGCTCATGACCCAACTGGTGAGCTCGCAATCTTTCTTTCATCAGAAACATCGGGCGGCAGGCTTTCTGGTTGTCCTGTCTCCCTTGCTCCACATCGTGCACTTACATGAAAGTGAGGAACAAAATAGACGATCGATCTAAAACGTTAAAACGTCATTTAGACATGTCTCAAGTTTCCCCTGCATCTCAACTGGAATCTCAGATTTTGCAAAGGTTGCTGTTCATCATTCAACGGCTGCACGGCAACTTTAGAGTTAATAGATCAACTTTGTTCCTGTTCCTACCGTCCCGTCCGCCTGGGTCTGTCCCGCTGACTTGCGTCTTTGCGGGCGCTCTCTCCCTCATTTTGACCTTGAAAGGCGCTCAAGCGCCCCCGATTATCCGTAGATAGTCTGTTCGTCAGATGGACGGGCGCTCACCCTTCACGTGGCTGCGGGCGCAGCACCTTTCACTCATACTTATATAAATGACGGTGTCCAACCTTTCTGCATCAAATCAAGACCTCCAAAATTTTCAGTCAAACACGTCGAAACCTACCAAAGAAAATGGCCTTGAGCCATACGCGAGCGATCCGTTGCACGACCAGTGCGAACCAGTGCGAAATCACAGTAGGAACTCGACAGACACAAAGGACCCGGCATTCAAACCGGACCTTACAATACAACTTAGCCACCAGTCAGCACGCTGTCCTTGGCATGTCCTTACCTGGCTAGAGGAAAAGTCGTATCACAGTCTGCAGACCTTTCGATGTTCGCCATCACCATAGGCCACGAGTGGGCTGCCTACCCGCTTAATGCTTGCCTCGCAATATCGCCACTAATGGACAACAGATACCACCTATAGGAGTTGTAGTCGTCAAGAATAATAGACTGGGATCAAGTTAAGTGCTTAGAGATGAAGCAGTCTTCACAGGACTGCTAAACCTCTCAACCTGGACTTTGTATTCCCAGTAGATCTGGCTCCTGCAGGTTTGATGATAAGCTCCCGAATTCCAAAGCCCCTATCAGGACGACACAATAGGGGGATCCTCACTCTTGGAACGAGATCGAATATGACTTTTGGCATACAGTGGCATAAAGTAACTTCGAAGCAGTCACTTGCAGAGTTGCTTCTGATGACTTGTTGCGACTTCCGTTACAAGCATGCGTATCAAGTTGACGATACCTTCTCTTCTCTCGGAATTCTATTTCTCATAACCCAATATTCTCATCATTTGCTCCTTTCCTCTCCAAACACAATGATCGATTGAATCTCTGATGCATCCAATATTAAATCCACATGGAAAGTACCTGAACAATGCATATACGCGTAGAGATGCTGTAGCAACGAGAGTTGTGGCCTGCAGAAATGAGGATTCAAGCCTGTGAATTTTGGTCCTTTAATCCCAAGGACCCGAAGAAGAAGATGTACTGAATAGTGGGATTCATACCCGTCCCGGACTAATCAAACGAAAGGGCCCCAATATTTGACTGACTTCCTGTGATGAATCCATCACATAGCAAGATCTGGATTCATCTTGCCTTAAGCAAGAGAAAGCAAGTTCACCTGAATAGAATCGAAATTTTAAATACCATATTGAGGCTGTCTTCATATATATCTATTGGACTGATCCAAAGTGTTGAATACCCCACGAGTGACAGATGGTCGACGAGATGCCTGCGACGCAGGGGGAGAGGATCGCTGAGTCGCAAGCCCTGCTCAAGATTTCTTTTTCTCTCATTCGTACTTTTCACAAATAAATTGTTACTTGCTCAGATGATGCTACTACACCTTAGGTGAGCCATACGAAGTTGTAAATGATAATGGTGGCGTCTTAATTCAGCTCAACGGCATTGATATGAATGGAATTTGTCCTCGACTTCACTTGGGACTCGGATTCCTGTAATAATATTTATGATGGCTTTGTACCTCATATTATCGCGATGCTCAAAATAGGCCGTTACTGGTGGAACTGGGCCTTCACCGAGATGTATGGATAGTTGTATGATAGTCAATTAAATTTACGTGCTACTCTAGGCGATGTTAGTCTTGGTCATATAAAGCTATGTGTCATGACATTCGAGACCAATTCAAAACTCACAAACTTGCTAAGATTTAACAAACTATCAACGGCGGGACGTTGTTCTGCCCTTTCATGCACGTACTTTACCTATACGAGCACGCGTTGAGATATCAGCGACTTGATGGCAGTTTTCCAGAACCCTGGCTACCGTGTTCTTCCGCGGATACGAAACTCCAACAGGAATGCTTCAAATTCAGCGTAATGTTGACGATGGCGACTTGACTCAGTTACTGATGCTCCATTGCTTACCTGACGCGGCTGTTACCACCGATTTCATTAAGTCCACTTCTTATACCTGGTGCAGCTGCGCAGCGCCGTTTCAAGGGAGCATCAAGTGAGGAAGTTGGGTCTTGACCTTACGGATACCATACGCCCTAAACACCCCGCCTACTGCTTCCAATTCAGTCACTAATGGAAGATTTCTTCCGGGGTTTTGCAATTGAATACTGGAGGCTGCGTTCGAGGAAACTTTGACACTTACAGCGACGACCGCAAACATATGATACACGTACAAGTTGCTAGCGAGTTGCCGATGTCACCAAAAACGTGCACTGCCCGGCCGAACTTGAATTCGCATGGTACAGATCAGAAGTTAGTAGCTCGGAGGCTCGGATAACGAGGCTCTCGTAAGGCGTATGCTCGTAGGGCGTACGAGCCCGCCGCGTCATAAAGGCCGCCACTCGCAACGCATAGTACGATGTTGTGTCGCTCCATCCAATAAAAGTTCAGATGACACACTGAAATTCTGACGACTTGACGTTTTGACGTTCGGAACTGCCCCGCTCTAGAGCGAACCGGAATACTAAAGTTAGTGGGGCTGTTCCGAATGGAGCCATGTTGGATAGAATAAAAGGTTCTCCTACTGACGTCTCGTAAGGTAAGGTGAAGTAGTTGAATCGCAGCATAATACTTGCTTCGGGCCGTTGAAAAGATTAAGGCATTTTCCAGAACACACTTGAAAATATGGCCCATCCTCATCACGACTTCAAAGACGTAAGTTACATGTCATTTTGCAGGGAAGCATACTAATCGCTTTCTGACTTAGTTCCAATCGTTCTGCAAAGCTCGCGCTGTTGCTTTGCACAAACATGTATCCGCTTTACCAGCGGATCAATTCAAAGAAAATCCGTGGGAACTTGTGCGGGCCATAGAAGACTTTGCCAACACCGAAAAGCTCCCCATGATTTTCCGTGAAACCAAGATGAACCTGGCCCGAGCCGCTCTCACAGACATGAACCCAAAGCCAAAGGTGATGGTCGAGTTCGGAAGCTTCGTTGGCAACTCCACAATAGCATGGGGCGCTATGCTGAAAGAGTTTTACCCAGACAACAACAGTGGTATTCGCATTTACAGTTTCGAACTCGACCCCGAACTAGCAGATATTGCACGAGACGTTGTGAAACTAGCTGGTATGAGCGACATTGTCACTGTCGTGGACGGGCCAGGCGCAGAGTCGTTGAAGACTCTTGTCAAGAACGGAGATCTCAAGACAGAAAGTGTTGATGCAGTCTTCTTCGACCACTGGGAAGACATCTATCTTCCAAATTTGAAGCTCTGCGAGGAACTTGGAATTTTTCACAAAGGATCAGTTGTATTGGCAGACAATACTGACATTCCCGGCGCGCCCAAGTACCTCGAGTATGTTAGAGGCAACATGGAGGAACTAGCTGGAACTGTACGATATCAAAGCAAGACTCATCTCGTACCGAACCCTAGGAACTCAAATGGGCCAGTAAGTAATATCAAGGGATGTCAATTGTCGTCACCTGCTGACAGAATGTACAGCGAGCTCTTGAGGTTACCATCGTTGTTTGATTGCCAGTTTGAGATTATATCCATTCGTTTTCAGGCTCAGGGAGTGCCATTGGTGTCTACTTAAATAAAATGGATCATTCCAACATTCAGAGCGTTCTTTGCCCCAGGTCTATTAATCTGGATGAGGCATTTCTGTGCAAAGTTTTACATGAATCTTGTATTGAAATGTTTCAAATCGACAGTTGAATCCACAGGTTTACAGCAAGCTGTACGTGGCTCTTTTGATGGCAGCGACTATCTTTTCAAGCCACTCAGCAGCACCTTCGACGTTACCATCTTCCAAGCATTCCACGACCCCGGGAAAGATGACTCCGTCATAACCGTACCACAGTCCTGGTGCAAAGATCTGCCAAAGTATTAGAACACGAACGGCCGGGACCTCAAATTTGAAACTCACAACATGCCGATACCACTCCCGGCCAGGCAACCCAGCCCCCTCTGGCAAAAGAAACTGCCGCTCGAGATAGAGGTAGGTCTTGTTGACTTGATTGTCAACTTGCATGCTTCCTGGAGCGACTCGGAGTGGCGATATCGCGTCTAACCGAGACGCGGCGTCTTGAAATTGCTCAACGGCCTTGCTGAGAGCATGAAAGCTGAGGACGTTATCATACTTGGCCCGCAGCTTCTCCAAGTGATGAGCGAGGACCCTCGGGTACTCTGCTGCCTCGAACGCAATGTTGCCCAAACCAGCGAGTCGAACCGTCAATAACCCCCAGAGTTGAGCCATGGCAAGGTGCTTCTTGAAGCCGACATCGCCAAAGTTTTCGACCCAGTAGTAACTGTCATAGTTGGAGTGGTAAGGATATACACCCTTTCCCTGCCGATTGAAGAGCAGGTCAACGGACGGAATGCCGAGATGATCAAAGAAGACCGTGTAATCACTTCCCGTACCCATGAGGTCGAGAGTAGGGACCATCTGCTCTGGATTGGCTCGCTTCTGGTCACTTAGCCAGTCGTCATAGACTGTTCGATTCTCGTTGGTTGGCGATTGGATCATGCGAGTCACATCACGAAGCACGCTCGCAAGAAGAGGGCTCCCAGTAGCGCCAAGGATCGTGCCACCATTGGTCGACTCGTCAACATTGAGGTCTGAGCGAAGATCAACTCCCGTCTTTCCCACAATCTAGACAACACATAAGACTTACAGGCAACACAGTTCTTGCTTAAATCATCCTGCTGATGTTCGCCCCATTCGGTAGAGCCGACCAGGCCGTATTCTTCGTTGTCCCAGTTTGCTAGTACACTGTCAAGGGCAGTCAGAAATGACTCTCACCAGTTGAATCTTGCAACTGTAGCATTGCGTTGCTTACATTTTCCTGTATGGTTTCCAGCCTTTTGAGTAAAGCTCGCCGAGGGCCCTAGCAACCTCATTCATGGCCGCCGTTCCACTTACAGGGTCAATAGCTCCACAGCACCAAGAATCATGGTGATTGCCAAGAACGATGCTCTCTTCAGTGGTCCCACGTATGGTTCCGATAACATTGTAGATCGGAGCGTATTTATAAGTGCCTGTGACTATTGTTAGAGACCGTGCCTGATCTCTGAACAGTTTGAAATCGAAATTGCTTACCTCGGTTTGACAGAAAGACTTTGGCTTGGCTAGGGCCAGTATAATAGTCTACCGCCTGAAGACATCCTTTCCAGTCGCTGCGCTCACCGGCTATCTGACTAGGTCCAAGTCCATGACCGTTCAAAGCCTGAAGGAAAGGAATAGCATCTGCATGAGATATCGGTAGTGATGGTATCCTTGGAGTTGCATGGCCAGGATCCTGTCGTTCAAGGTCGGTGTCTGGCAAACTGGGGTACCCGGGTGTCGTTGGGTCACCCACAGCCACGGAGAAGAAGTCCACGCTGCCTCGTTGAATGGTTTTGGGATGCCTTGCTGGACCATGAGGGTAGTGCTCATAGCCATTCTCAACGGTGTATTCCCCGTCCTCTTGAGGATCGTTATACAGAATGACAGCGGCTGCCCCGTACTGTTCGGCTGCTCTGACTTTGAGGCCTCTAAAGACCTTGGCATACTTGCATATGACGACTTTCCCCTTCACGGAAATACCATGCGCCTTTAGCAGCTCAAAGTCTTTCAACTCGCCAAAGTTCGCATATACCAATTCGGCGCAGATGTCGCCGTTTGCGCTGAAGCCATGAAAAGCGGGTAAACCGTTTCGAGGTGACGACGTTGGATCCTCTGGCACCTCCTCCTCCGTCAGGGAAGCCTCAAAATCTATCTGCCCATTCGTTGCAAGGAGACGAAGAGCTTGAGACTCTGGAAAGTTTTGCAGGACCTCATATTCTTCCAATGCGGTCGGGATTCCGTACGAAATCCATAGATCTCGGATGCGTTCTGCGTGGGCTAGGTCCCCGGCTAGGTGGGGTTCTGCGCTGTACAGTTTTGACCAATGGCGGAGTTTCGTAGTGTCAGGCCAATCAAGCATGAGCTTCTCAGCTTCATCCTGTGATACCTTGATCTCCATGAGCTAGTATCTTAGTCGTCTAGGAGTTGGGATACTAGATTGAGGTTGATGCTGCTGTAGTTGTCTTCTCAATGAACGCAGTTGCTGAATTGGATGTTAACTTTGACCAAACGCGAAGCAGATTTCGCAGGGGTTTTGTACCATTCCACTACTCGTATCATTGTTGGGTTCCCGGCCGATTGCGGGGATACCAGGTTTGGAGACCCTGACAGCGATAAGGACAACACAGGCTTTCTAGGCTACTTAGGTGGAAGAGGAATCTTATGTGATGAGATGAGGTGATTGTTTGTCTCCTGAAGAGGTGAACTTTATTTGTGCAACTTGATTTCGCTGTCACGACACTACCCAACTTGATGTTGTGAATAATAGCTTGATCTTCTGCGGCCTACTTTGATCACTGCTCGCCACCTACAGCATGCCGCAGAACGAGAGGTGGACGGCATAGAATGCCGATTCAAACGAGTGCAGTACTTAGTCATTTGTTCTAAATTTCAACCACAGATATCAACTATCAGACGCATGAACATTCTGATACAGTCAAGATAGTCCGGAATGTCTACTTTCTCATCTGGTCGGGTGTTGTACTTCCCTCCAGGACCACAAACAATGCCTTCCATCCCCAAAGTTTTGAACAGATGGCCAGCGTCGGATCCATAGAAACAAGTTGGCGCAAGAACCCCTGTTGGCTGCTCTTCGTTGCGAACCTGGTGATATGCCTTGTTCAGGGCTCTCACTATTTGCGACTCTCTTGGCACCTCAAATGCCGGCATGGTAGGCTCAAATCGCTGCTTGACAGTAGCCGACATGCCAGCAAAGTTTCCAATCACCGTGTCTACCAGTTCGCGAATATCAGCCATGACACCTTCTTGTGTCTGGCCAGGTGCGTAGCGCGCACTTCCAGCAAGCTTGCATACGTCCGCCACTTGAGCAGGTCTCCATTCAACCAAGTCTTTCCCAAGGGCGCCATGAACCACCCCGACTGAGCATCTGTTGCACTTTTCATGCTCACTGCTTTTGGCTCCATGGAATTTCATATTTGCCATTTGGGGAATCAGCTCGCATGCCGCTTGAATCGCATCGGATGCTTCCTCCTTGGCTGACATGTGTCTAGTGACTCCAACAATCTCAATCTCGAAGACCAGAGCTTCCGCGTGCATTGTGACTGCCTGTATATCAGACGGTTCACAGTTGACAAAATAATCGGCATTCATCTTTCCTTGATCAATGAGGGCCATTGTACCGACGCCTCCCTGAAGCTCACCAACCACATAGGTCAGGACAACATCGCCTCTAGGCCGCCAGCCGGCCTTGAGCAGCGCTTCAACGGCGCAAAAGTACGCGGCACAGCCAGATTTCATGTTACTGACTCCAATGCCGTAGATGAACTCGTTATCAATCTTTCCCTCCCAAGGATCGATCGTCCAACCTTCGGAGACAGGATTTGTGTCTAGATGTCCGTTGAAGAGTAGCGTTTTTGGGACGTTGTTGCTCGCTCCTGAAACTGAATGGTGGCCCTTCCAGATCCCTACCGCATTTTGACGGCGGCCATTGTCGAATGGGAAAATATCCGACTCCAGTCCAATCTTTCTCATTTGCTCGGCCATGAAATTTGTTGCCTCTAGCTCACCATTGGTCTGCGAGTAGCTCTTGATTTGAATGAGCCTGGACAGGAAAGCAAGGCAGTGAGCCTGGTCGATGTCTGGAATCTGCATGATATGGCGATATGTCTGTGGATTCGAATTGAAGTTGCTTAAAAACGGATGATTGATTTACTGATGGGCCCTGAGCTTCAGCAAGCGTTGCATATAACACAGAAAGTCAATGGCGATGGGCAATGCAAAAACTGGCGACCACGTTTCGTATTCTGCCCAAAGTCGACTTACTGGACATGTCCTTTTACTGAGGGTCGAAGGATTGGTATGGCCGCCGAGAACCACTCGGAAGCAGATCGGTGTGCTTGTCCAATCCATGTGCCAAGTTTGTACGGATATGATGGGAAATACTCGGAGTCTTATCGGCCGCTTTGGCTTCCCCGGCGATCCACATAGAAACGAGGTAAGCGGGGACGTTGATACAACCCCTGCATGTTAAGCTTTTAAGCGGAAAGCCGGATCCACCGTCTTTGTCTTGGAAATCTTGTCCTTGTAATAGGCGGGGACGCGATACAAAACCCCTCAAGAAGTTTTCCGAGCCGTCGGGATAACAAGATCGGAGTGGTTGCCCGACGGCAAAGGAAGCCACATCTTATCAGTTACTCCCAGACTCAAAGATAATGTCCGGCTGACCGGCACGTCGTCTACGGCAGGGAACAAGAAGATAAACGTTTTTCCACCGCTTGATAGGTCATCAGTGGCTACCTACATCTACTTGTTGTGGAGACATTCATTCAAGCTTACTTGAAGGTGCCACAATTGATAGCAACGTCGGCTTTTGGAGGCCGAGTCAGTGCATCCATCAATCCCAAATGTTCGGGTGCAGCACGATTACCCATGAATATGGAAACTCAGCTCTCTCCAAGTATGATTCTGGCGGAGATATTATACCACCGAGCCGGATGTCGCAGAGAAAGGTTGCATAGCTTGGTTTCCATTCTCAAAGCTCGTTCTGGAAAATGAGTGACAACATCGAAGCACCACCAGCAGCGGCTGACACTGCGACCGACCATGAGGTCGCTCTCAAAGGGCAAGTCGCTGATGAAGGCTATGATATTTTCGAGGAAGGCATCGCGCAGTCTGTGCCGCAGGATATTGCCGATGCTGTCAGGCGCAAGATTGATCGCCATCTTTTAGTATTGATGTGCTTGCTGTATGGCCTCAACTATGTCGACAAAGTTGCAATGGGATGGGCAGTACTATTCAATTTCCGCAAAGACCTTGGTCTGGTGGGAGATGAATATTCATGGGCTAGCTCCATGTTTTACTTGTTAGTAATGACCACAAACTCTATGGATTCAAGAGTAAGCTGACCACATATCTACAGCGGATACCTTGCCGCGCAATACCCTGCCAATTATATGCTTCAGAGATATAAGACAGTTCGGATTCTCAGCTCTGCCGTGATAATTTGGGGTGTGCTAATGCTTGCGTGAGAACCCAGCCCTCCTCCAACATTCGTTGTCGTGTAACTGATTATGATTTATCGGAAAGCCATCTTGGCCTGCGAAACTTTGCCGGACTAATGGTTGTCCGCTTCCTCCTCGGTGTAGCTGAATCGGTTGTAACTCCTGGCATTCTGTTGTATACCTCTATCTGGTATACCCGAAAGGAACAAGTCTTGCGTACGATGCTGTGGGCTGCTATGCAGGGGGCATTCTCCATTGTTTGCAGCTTGTTATCTTTCGGTCTGGGTCATATTACCAACACCGCCTTGAGGCCATGGATGTACATCTTCCTGGTTTTGGGTATTCTCAGCATCTTGGTAGGGGTGCTCTGGATCATTTTCATGCCTGAGACCCCCAATAAGGCCAAGTTTCTCACACACGAGGAGCAAGTCATTGCCGTACAGCGTGTTGCGCAGAACATGACTGGCATCAAGGGGTATGAATGGAAGTACTACCAAATGTGGCATGCAGTGATCGATGTCAAGACTTGGCTGGTACTGGCATTTGTTCTCTTCACTCAACTCCCTAATGGCGGTCTCACATCATTCGGAAGCCTGGTTATCTCAGGGTTTGGCTTCAACGCTTTCCGAACACTGCTCATTGGCCTCCCTTCATCCGTTGTTAGTGCGGGTAGCATGATTGTTTGGGGAGCCATTTCAATCAAGTACGGGAACCTCCGAACATGGGGCATGATCATACCTCTGCTGCCCGCGATTGCAGGAATCGCGGCTGTCTATGCAACTATGGATACTGGGGCAAACAAGTATGGGCGGGTAGTTGCATACTGGCTGATCAACTCATACGCTGTAACAGTGAGTTCTTGTCCTCTCAACTCTTGCAAGTGGAAATCCTGTACTAACATGCTCTCACAAGTGGCCGTTTGTCTTGACTATTGTCGGTCAAAATGTTGCAGGCCATACCAAGCGGGCGTTTACTAACACGATGCTCCTCATGGTCTTCGCTGCAGGAAATATTGCTGGCCCATTCTTTTTCCGCAGTCAAGACGCCCCAAAGTACGTTCTTGCTATTGCGGTCATTTTGGTCTGTTTCTGCGCGGCGCTTTTGACTGCAATTGTGTTACGACTGTATATGGCTTGGCAAAATAGGCGCCGGGATACCAAGTATGGTAACAATGATGGGGTCGAGGAGAAGGTTGATGGGATGAGGCTTGGAATGCACGACAAGACAGACTTGGAGAATTTGGATTTCAGATATGTTCTCTGAGATTCGATGACACGACCCCCAACTTCTGCCACAGAGACAGGGAGGCGTCGGTAGTTTCAACTCTGGATTTCTTTCCCCCAATGGGCAAACGGATCGTATGATTTGTACTGGTGTTGCTTAATGTCCTAAGCTATCAGAGTAGGGCGGATTTGGGACCAGGTCAACATCTCATTTCAGTCTCCTTTTATCGTAAAGTGCCGAGCTCTCGTTAATCATTGGTGAAGCGTCCTGCAATTGAGCATGTGGAATTTGTCCATGACTGAACGTGGCTGGGCACTGAGCCCAACAGCCACTCAATCGCCACCCCGTTGATATCCATCGTCTATCATGGCGCGTGCATGACTAGGGAGCCATGCAGCGTCGGAGCTTTCTACTCATACACCGGTCACTTCGCCACCAAGGGATCAAATTTCTCCTTCAACATTGAGGAATTATAAACCGCCACTCCATTCGGACTTTCCGTCGACCAAGTGGCCCTCGTTCGCAGGTCGAATTCATCTGTCCGTCATGGTGACCATCCGTCCATGTCTTGGCGACCTTGCCCCGGAGTTGATACAGCAGATTGCTTCCAACATCTCGCCTAGCAGCCTCTTGGATTTCCGACAAACCTGCAAGCGATTCAACAACGAGACATTGGATCTCTTTTTGGAGAATTTTTCCACTACAAGATGCTTCATTCTGGAGCGACGGAGCCTGGAAAATCTGGTCGAAATTTCCCGTCACGAAGTGTTTGGCCCGGCTGTTCACTGCCTGCACGTTGTCCTTACTCATATCTCGACGAAGCACGAGACATTGATGTTCAATGACTCTTTCGCATTGTTCGAAGTAGATCCTGGACCTAACTGGGAAGCGCATCAACGCTGTTTGGATGAGCAGTCGGACATGGCTTCTACTGGCCTTGACATCGCTTACCTATCAGCCGCCATGGCCAACTTCATCAATTGCCGGGCAATCCACGTTATGGATTGGGGATCCAGTGAGCAGCAATCACCACCTTGGGGTCTTTCCCAACTAGAAAGTGAGCTCCGATTCGAGCTTGAACCGTGGGTCATGAGACCCAGTGGTGTTGTCTTTGCCAAGCGTGCAATCGTGGCATTGCTATCAGCAGTCGTAGGAAGCCGCCTAGCACTCGAAGCCTTGGATCGACTTCGCCCATTTCCCATTCACCCAATCCAGTCTGCCGAGTTCGCTCCCGCACACCGCATTGTGTATTCCTCAGCTATTGGCAATTCGAGCGCCTGACGCCCTCCGTCACGTTTCAATACTGCACTTACTACTCTCATCCGAACATATGCAAGATATTGAGCTTGGCCTGGTGTCCAATGGCTGGGCTTCGGATGTTGCAAAATTCATCCATCTGTTCCCGTCCGTCTCCGACCTTTCCCTCCAAGTTCACGCACCCATGGAAGATTCAAACCACATCAACCTTTGGCAGCTCTCTACAATGTACGTCCCTAACCTGAAATCCCTGGTCCTCTCAGGCTTCGAAGGTGAGGGCGGAGATTTGGTATGTATATTGCGCCGGCATGTTGCGAGCTTGAACGACTTGAATTTGGGAAACATCAATTTAGCCCAAAGCGAGAGGAACTGGTCAGATGTCGTTCAAGTTGTGCGAGACGAGCTTAACGACTGCAAAGTTCAGATAACGGACTGTGAATTCGAAGGCCAATATCTGGAGATCCCCGACTATTCTTGCGCTGATCCCTCTTCTTTCATTTCTTTCTTACAAGCAACAACTCGCGAAGAACTCACCGAGCTCTATGACAAGTTAGTTGATTCGGAGGTTTGAGGGCACTCGATCACTTCCAAGTAGAGGTTAGATGGAGTATGCATGTTCTTATAAAGCTCTTCAACGGCTCGGAACACTGATTAGTAGATATAACTGCCATTTTCCAGAGCCTCTCTGTTTATTCTATCAATACAGTCTGCCAATACACTTACTCGTCAAGCTCATGAGAAAGCTCCAACGACTTTGGAAACTTTGGCTGTGGAGGTGGTCCTAATCGCCGTTCGTGATCCTCCTTTGTTGAATACAGACCACTATACGCTTTTCTGGGTACTTCTTGTCTCGCTTCATCAGTGGCAGTGATCGATTGCTGCCATTTGGCCATCTGAAGATGCATGTGAAAGTTGAGCAGATTATCCTCAGGTAGGTCCCAACTATCCCAGTCTTCGCTGTGTTGATCGGGCTCATTGAAGATCTCTTTGGTCACTGCCAATTCATCATCGCCCCTATAAAGCTCCTTGTCCGGGCGTAGATATTCTTTGCTCCACTCGCTCTTCTTATGGAATTCAAGACCCTCTTCTTTCGCACGCCGTTCGATCCTCTCCTTATAGAACTTGCTGTAAGATTGAAGTGCGGCTTCCCAATGTTCTTGTGTTGGCTTCACCCCGTCAAAGAGCTCAGGAAAAAGATGACGGTAGTCTCCAGCTATGCATGCGAGTATTACCTGGTGTTTCAGGTCAGGTCGGCGCCATGCTAGCTCGCGCAAGGTGTCCTCATGTGGGCAGTGAGGCCACCAAAAGAACTCCGGAAGCGTTTCGCCATCGGTTTCGCTATCGATGCGGGATAGATCGTCGTTCATGATGAATCGTGCATGAAATGCCTGCCTATCAAGTCTGTTTTCATATCTGCGCGGGAAAATTTCGTCAACGCAAGATTCGAGCCATCGCGCAAATGGTGTATGATGGTAAGCACCGCGAACAACGGCCGTGATCTCATTCGGAACTGTAATTGGCCGTCTGAGGCGAGCATAACGCTCAATGTTGCCGTCCTATGCAGCCATGAGAATCAAAATGTCCCTATTAATAGGAGGCAAGTCTCTTGGCAGTGGGTTATAGAGCAGAGCAATGTACTCGCCTTGTAACTTCGAGAGACAAGGCCCCTGTGAAGGATTGGAGTCCTCTTGAATATTGAAGTAGTTAGATGGCCATTTTTCCAAGTTGGGGTTCCTCTCGGGGGGGGCCTCCGATGGCTGTCAATGGTCGATGAAGTTCCAAGGAGGATCGAACAGCGGTATCCCCATTGAGACAAGCTCCCGGTCGTGGATTTTGCAGATCTACAGATCGCTGGTAATCGTTCATGACAGTATATCTCACAGGGTGGCTCGTTATATGCTCAAAAATATCGAGCTTTCCATTACCGCGAGCTTCCTCGGCAATGGAGACATCCGGTAGCAGGTCCAATTCGTTGTATAGCTTCCCATATCCTGCGACGGCGCAAGCTCGTCCAATGTGATATCGCATCTCTGGGTAGCGGTGATAAAGCTTTCGATAGGTATCCTCGGTAGCAACGTCAGGATACCAAATGCAATAAGGTACCACTTCCTGGGACGCCATGTCTGGAATCATGTTGCTCATGATGAGACGTGCGTTGGGGGCCCTGGCGTACCTGTCATGAATCTTGCAGATATCGGTCACTTCTGAAGATTTGGCGAAACTTTCGTGGTGTCGGATGCCATGAACGAGGAAGTCATTGCTGTCGCCCCAACCTCGCAGTGCCTCGCCAGAACATATGACTCCGTTATAGAGACGTGTATCTTGGCGTATCTTGCTAAAATCAGGACCCGAACGCGTTCGTAAACATCTTGATGTCAAGGCTCGAGAAGACCTGAGCCATGATCGACGCAGCAGTAGAGGTGCCATGCCGGGTCTCTCTATTCGCAGTTGACCGTAGAGAAGTGGTTGCATTGAGAGGGAAACCATCATTGATTAGTCGTGAGGACTGAAATCTTGTTCGGCTTCGTGATGTTTCAATATCGGTGAAGAGAGGAGGCGAGTTTGGCCCCTCGTGTCGCGTTTTTTCGTATATTGGGTAAGAATACAACACACGACAGGTTTTTGCGTTCCAACAAAATGTTCATCTCGGTAAAGTCGGATATCGCGGCTGGGATGGGGTGCTGTGCCGCTGGTCTAACCTCAAAATCAAGAAGCCCGCCGCTCTACTGCATATACCCTCTCAATCACGTCGTATGAATCTGGCCAGATTTTCAGGGCGTCAAGAACTTGCGAATCTGGTCGTGCCACGACGCGAGACGAAAAGCTCTGTTAAAATGCCGTGCAAAGCTCTCGCCTCTAAGGCTCTACCAACGGACAGGAATATGAAGTCCCACTGCCAATGCTCAAACACGAATGATGCAGAGGGTAAGATTCCTTGAACATCGACGATGATTCTGACTCTCTTTCTAACCATTCTGAGAACATGGAAATCTTCCGTAAACATGACACGGCAGTTTAGCCTTCTAACGCCAGCGGGATATGCCAAGACATGATATCCAGAACAGGATTTTGCCCTATCCTGGGCCAGCATTCGGCGGGTAACAAGCTGACTTTGATATCCCCTATGACACATCATTGCAGAAAGATTCTTCGGTAATTTGTAAACGAGGCCGTGAAAGATGCGACTGTAATTTTCAGTCTGACCGATTCCGCGATAGTTGAGATTCACGACCTGCCCATGCCACAGCTCTTTGTAGCCCGGGCCGTACAAATTTCGTAAGCACACTACCGGATCCCACCAAAGTTTAATCATAGGTGATATACTGTTCGCTCCGTGTGGCACTGCTACAAAGGCCGGTCATCGAAAAACGTAAGTAGTTATTGGAAGGCTGCACCTCAGCCGTTAACATATCAAACAAGGATGAAGATGCCGATTATCAAAGTTCCAGGTTGAGACTGAAGTATGTGGATAACCAGGCCGCCGTCAGACTTTCAAGAGCGAGTTGGACCTAACTTTCAGCCGAGACATGGGAGCGGAGCTGTTGAGTAAGACAATGGTCTTCTTAGTCGTTCGTGACTGAAGGTAAATACAGGAAGCACGTAGAGACACGTTCGTGTTTGGCATCGTCATCAGCTCCTATCCCAAATGTACACAACATGATAAGTAATCGTAACGATACATTCCGGCCATTTTTTAAAATGCACAGATTTTTCCAGCAATGACAACCAGACTGCGGCTTCGACACCTCACGACACAACAGAGCTCGCCTGGGGCCGTGGCT